CCTCGACCTGTCCCTGCCCCGAGTCCTCCTGGGTGTCCCCTTTGGGAACCTACCAGGAGCCCAGTGGCCTGGTTGTTGAGGGCTGTGTGAACCTCGGCCACGCCGTCCCACACCTGGGGGGACACAGGTGATGCCTGAGGAGAAGGCTATACCAGGAGGCCCCCAGCACCCCTCTTCCTGGCCAGGTAGGCACCTCAGTGATGGCCGTCTTCTTCCTCTCAAAGGACAGTCGAATCTGCTGCAGCTCATTCTGGGAAGGACACTGTGGACTCAGGCAGGATCAGCAGGGCAGCCAGCCCTCCCAGGTCCACGTGGGATTGCTGCACGAAGGCCCCCTCCCCTCCCCCTGCAACCCCCCAGGCCCACCTGGAGCCTCTGCATGAAGGCCCCCTTTTCCGCATCCCCCTTCTCCAGACCCACCTGGGACTGCTGCACAAAGGCCTCCTGCCCCTGGCACAGCTCCCGCCGCAGCAGCTGCAGAGGCACCCTGTCCCCCAGGGGCTGGGTGCTGGCCGGCTCCGGGGGCTGTGGGAGAGTCCCCAGGTCAGCCTCAGGCTGTAGACTAATGGGGGTTGGCCGTGTGGGGTCCCAGGGCCTGGTCTTACCCAGGCGAGAGCCATGCAGCTGGAGTGCTCGGGACACAGGGGCAGGAACTGTGGCCCCGGCCCCAGGAGGGCCCCCAGCTGCTCCCGAAGGTCCTGGTTCTGCCTTTTCTGGAGTGGGGGGCAGAGAGAGTGGCCCCTCTGTGGTGGCTGCTCCTCAAGCTGGGGCAGGGAAGGGCATGCGTGGGACCCGCTCACCAGGCTGTGGTTCTCCTGCTCCAGCTGCAGGAAGGACTGTTCTGCAGAGCCTGGCCTCCCGCACTGGAGCTGGGAGGGGGCTGCCTGGGGCGAGGCCGGGGCTGGGCATGGGCAGGGCCTGGGCCCTGAGCTGGGGGACATCCCCTGCCTGGGAGCCCCATGCTGTCGCCCCGGACTCAGGGGCCAGCTCCACCCCAGCCCTGCCTCTGCTGCTGGCCTTGGCCCTGCTGGGTCTCTCACTCTCTGCTGAGAAGCTTCTCCCTCTTCGCTGGAGGGAAAGATCTCGGGAGCTTCGCCCCCAAGTCTGGGCCGCCCACCCTCTGCCCTCGGGGCTGGGAAAGGCCTTTCAGTCTCCATGGAGTGAGCAGAGGTGAGGGGGACCAGGCAGGGCCACCTTACAAATCCCTGGCAGGGCTGGTCCAGGTATCCTCCATGGCTGCTTGAGGCTGGGGCAGGGGGACACTGGGGGTGGGAGTGGCCGCAGGGACCCAGGGTTTTTGGCCCCTCCATCCCTCCCTGCGACCCCTTCCTGACCCCAGGTCCAGGCTCTGGCCTGACCCAACCTGCTGCCTTCTTACTGAGGGCGCTCTGGGTGTCCAACCAGCCCCAGGCTGTCCTAGGCGACCATCACAAAGGCTGGATGCAGCCAGGGAGGTCACAATGGGCCCCACCCTCTGCCTCTTTCCCACCCACCCAACCACCTACCGAGTTAGCTACTTTTTTCTCTCTCCCACCCTCCCTCCCTCAGACAGGATCTTGCTCTATCACCCTGGCCGGAGTGCAGTGATGCAATCATAGCTCACAGCAGCCTCAAACCTCCTGTGCTTAAGTGATCTTCCCACCTCCATCTCCCCCGTAGCTGGGATTACAGTCATGCAACCACACCTAGCTAATTTTTTATGTTTTGTAGAGACAAAGTCTTGCTATGTTGCCCAGGCTGGTCTCCAAGTCCTGGCCTCAAGCAATCCTCCTGCCTCGGCCTCCCCAAGTGCTGAGATTATAGGCATGAGCCACTGTGCCCGACCCAGTTATTTTTCTTTTTTTTTTGAGTTGGAGTCTCACTCTGTTGCCCAGACTGGAGTGCAGTGGCTGCTCCTGGCCACCGCAGCCCCGACCTGCTGGGCTCCAGCGATCCTTCCACCTCAGCCTTCCAAGTAATCGGAATTACAGGCATGTGCTACCACACCCGGCTGATTTTTTTGATTTATTGTAGAGATGAGGTCTCGCCAACTTGCCCAGGCAGGTCTCAAACCCGTGGGCTCAGGCAGTCCACTCACCTCAGCCTCCCAAGGCACGGGATTACAGCCTGAGCCACCGAGCCCGGCTATTTTTCTTAAAATGTAAAACAGATACACAGAGTTCAAAAAATGCCAAACAATTAAAAAGCTGTTAGAGCCTGTTTCCCGCCGGCCCCTCCCTGTTTCCTGGCCATGAGCCCCCTCTCAAAGCTCCTTTGGGGTGGTCTGCCCTTCCTTGCAAAGCAAGGCTTGCCCCAACCCCCTTCTCACACAGAAGAGATCATCCTGCCTGCCTGTTTCTACCTAATATGTCTCTGAGGTTTAAAAATATATATATTTTTAGGTGTTTATTGAAAATTTACTTTGGCAGGTCCTGTAATTGCCACTATTCTCTGTCTACAAGTGCAGAAACTGAGGCTCAAAGATTTTTAGTTGCTTGCTGAGGGTCACACAGCTACTCAGTGGTGTGGGACCGGATGCAAGCTCATCATCACCTTTTAATGCTGCAGGGCACTCAGCAGTGGTGGTCCAGCTCACATCCCTGTTCTGCTTTCCTTCCTTCTTCCCTTGCTCAGCAGCACAATGCTCCCCTCACCACCACTGCCCCACTCCTCACTGCCCATTTAGTTAACATCTGCAGAAAGGCGCTCAGAGGGGCTGGAGCCTGGACATCCATAGTCAGGTCCCTCTCTTCACCCCTGGCTCTGGGCTGTCACTGGGATTTACTCTGTGTGTTTGTTAAAGGTAGGGTCTTGCTCTGTTACCCAGGCTGCAGTGCTGTGGAGCCATAATAACTCACCTCCTGGGTGCAAGCGATCCTCATGTCTCAGCCTCCTGGGTAGCTGGGACCTGGGTAGCAGTGCCCAGTGTTGGATCCATTTTGGCCAACAGGCTGTTAGAAGCTGCTGTAAGTAGAAATTTGCAGAATGCTTGTGTGTTGGGCCTTGACCTCTCTGGCGTGGCTCTAGGGGCTCTCCCATGTGGGGTAGACCTGAGTTGGGCTACAGAATAAGAAAACATGGTGGGGGAAGAGGCTTCTGTCAACCCAGCTGGCCCCCAGCTGCCCAAAGGTGGGTGGACAAACCCAGTAAGACTCCTAGAGAACTGGCTCACTTGGCTAGCCCAGCCGCTAACTGCATGCTCATGAGCCCTGGCTAATAATACATGGCTGTATTCCCCACTGAGTTTTGGCATGGTCTGTCACAAGGGAAGAGAGAACGAGAGGCCGCACAGAGCTAGAAGGATCCTGACCACACGCTTGCTGGATGCTGGGTCGGGAGAGAGTCCCGTCTGAAAGTCTGTTCCCAGGGAGACACGAAGGCCTGGCTTGGGGTCCTCTCTAAAGCCTGCAGGTCCTCTCTGATCCCTGTGACTCTGGGGTTCCCAACAGCTGAGGACATTTCCTTACGGCCTGGGTACTCAGAGGACATTCCACCCCGAGACTCAGCATTTCTTTGATGGCTTTTTTTCTGCTTGTCCTGCTCATGTTGAACTCCCAGTGGTCAGATGTGGACCTTCTGGGATGATCATATAGTTCTTTCCTTTTCCCTACCTGTGTTTGTCCCCTTTAGGTATTTCCTGGAGTCCTGCTGCACCCTGCCTCTGTTTCTTGAAGCATTCTGCATCTTGGCA